AGAGAGAAACATCGACGTGAAAGGGACACATCGAGTGGCTGCCTCCCGCATGACCCAACCAGGGCCGGGGACAAACTTCAACTGAGGTACCGGGCCTTAGCGGGAACCGAACCTGGGTCTCTCTGGACCGCAGGCCGATGCTCTAACCGCTGAGCCAAACCAGCCAGGGCAAAGCCGATCCTTTCTTATTGACCTCGCTCTCCGTATGCTGGTGAGTTCAGACTCTTCCTATTCCTACATGTTGACAACGGCTCGCATTACTCTGATAGAAGATGCCTCGGTGAAGCACATACAGAATCTGGGAAGCAGTTCGAGGAAATTCCTGCTCAGTGTTGATCGTTAACATTCCCTAGGTGCTCACACTTCTTACCTAAGTGTGAGTCAGAGGAGGAACACTCAGAACTCACCTCGAGCATGAAAGTGACCTACCATCGTTGACATAAGCTACACATTCACTGTTGTTCCAGAACATTCCCACAGAGGCGGAGCCCCAGGGCCTGCTTTACTTGAGTGTGACCGGACGTGACCGGACGTGACCGGACGTGTGCACTCTGCCTTCCCAGTCACGCAAGAGTGGATGACCCCAGGCTGGAATTTTAAAAACCGACTCTTGGGAAGCTAAAGTCTCCTAACCCTGAACAGGTGGATTAAAAATGCGAACGCACATCTCAATGACAGGGCAGGTTTTCTTCCAAGGGCTGAGCAGAGCCAATTCACCTGGCATGAAGGTGGCGTGGTTTCCATCCAACACGGGTGTGGCGTGCATACTCTTTAACGCAGGGAAAGTAAAAACCCTCACCTTACCCCTCAACAAAGGTCCACGATTCAGCCGGCAGATTTAAAAACTGAGTTGAAATTCACATGACATAAAATTAACTGAAGTGCACAATTCAGTGACATTTAGTCTATTCATGATGTTGTGCAACAAGCACCTCTATCTAGGCACACTGTCATCACCCCAAAAAATACACGTACCCATTACCGGTCACTCCCCCTTTCCCCTCCCCCCAGCCCCTGGCAACCACCAACCTACCCCCCCCCCCCCCCCGTCTCTGTGGATGTGCCTGTTCCCGTCAGTTCATAGATAGAGTCCTACAGTATGTGGCCTGTGTGTCCGCCTCCAGTCACTGAGCTCCGATTTGCAGGGTCAGCCACATCGGAGCAGGTATCAATACTGCATTGCTTTTTTTTTTTTTTTTTTATCCTCACCCGAGGACATTTTTCCATCTTCTGTTCAGGTAGAGTGGGAGGGAGAGAGAGAAACATCGATGTGAAAGGAACACATCGAGTGGCTGCCACCCGCACAACCGACCAGGGCCGGGGACAAACTGCAACCGAGGTACATGCCCTTAGCGGGAACCGAACCCGGGTATCTCAGGACCGCAGGCCGACGCTCTAACCGCTGAGCCAAACCGGCCAGGGCTAAAACTGCATTGCTTTTTATGGCCGAATAGTTACTACTTAATAAAAGCAATATGAGTACACAGTTAAAAACTGATCAACTATAGGAAACCAAAATAAATCCTGAAAGGCCCCCCTGTACCCCTCCACCTGCTCTCTACCAGATTCAGCACTCCAAGGGCAATTGCTGTAAAGGGGGAAAAAAAAAATACACACACACACACACACACACACACAAACACACACATCTTACAGAAACAAATATATCTATGTGCATCTCTTAAGATATTAATGTGTTATTATTCTATTTAAAAATATTCAACAAAAGGGACCATCTAAAAATATTAAACAAAAGGCACCATCACACATCGTTTTTGCAGGATGGTTTGTGCACTAAAAAGCAGGGCTTGGCTCCTGGCTGGTTTAGGTCGGAGCATCGGCCCTCAGGCTGAAGGGTCAAGGGCTCGATTTCCAGTCAAGGACATGTACCTGGGCTGCAGGTCTGATCCCGGCCCTGGTCAGGGCTGTGCGAGAGGCAGCCAATCGACATGTCTCTCTTACATTGATGTTTCTCTCTCTCTTGCTCCCTCCCTTCCACTCTACCTAAAAATCAATGGAAGAATATCTCGGGTGAGGTAATCGCTTCGGGAGAACATCACCCAACCGGTCCCATCCCTGGATTTTCCCCCACCTGGGGCCATGGGCGCCTTTCTGACTTCACTGATAGGCTGGGTGTACCTGGAGTGACTACCTCTGAGAAGGATGTAGACACCTTGGTCAAACGTGGCATTTCCCACAGAGGGAGGGCAAGGCCCCAGTCAATGAGCCTTTCACTGGGTCTTCATGGGCAGCGTACGCCAGGGCCCAGCTGGCTCTGAGCCCAGCTGGCTCCTGGTCCTCCAAGTCTGTGGGAGACCATTTGCATGGCATCCATCTTGTTAAAGTCTGCTCTGCTGTCTCCGGCCCCAGGGTGGGGTCTCTCTGAATACAGTGTCTGCATTCCTCTAGATAATTGTTTACTCCATTCTTTGCTTATCATTTGTTCCACCTGAGGTATTTACTGGAATTGGCTTCAGGTGGGATACTCATTAACTGTTTCACCTGTTTTTCCCCTCTATATTATGTGAACTCCCCCTGAATAAACGAGACTTGATCAGAATCCTGTCGTCTCCATTTCTCGTGTCTCTTGTCCCTCCTCATCCTCACTCCCCCTCTAGAGTCCTCGTTGCTCGACCTGTGGGACGGGTCACAAGTCCAGCTTCTCTCTGCTCTCTTGGGCATCTCCCCTCCCTGACAATCTCTATTCACAAAACCCCAACCTTGACCCCCAAGGATCTGTCCCCTGCCTCAGGGTGAATTACTCCACCTGGCCCTCTCCCACCCACATGTGCATAAACTTCTCAGGAGACATTAACATACTGATTTCTGATACGGATACAACCCCTAAGGGGGTCCAGTGCCCAAGAAATGGCATTTAACCAAGACCCCGGTGACAGATGAAGCGGCCACCCTGGTTAAGTCCATAACAGGGGCGGGATAAAGCAGGAGAAAACGAAGTTTTTAGCTGAAGACCTCAGCTTCTGATTGAGGGAAGGCAAGGATTTTCATCATCCAGCTGCTTTTAAAAATAAACTCACATTTTCAGGTCATTCACATCACCAGTTACCTGGTCTAGAAACTTCTAGAAACCCCACGACCTGCTGGAGATCCTTTCCCATTGGTGGAAGGCCATACAGCCAAGAGGAGAGACATCTCAATGGCTTCTTCTCTTAACCGAAAATTGAACCTTGAACACAGGTCAGACAGTGGCTCACACTGGGCTGGGTGGGAGTCTAGCCTTGTTCAGCACAAAACAGACTCAATATTTAATTTGCTAAACTTTATTCCATAGCATTTACATTGACAATGACTAATCATGGCGCCAATCTGTTAACACGATGAAGCCCTCAAGGACCTGATTTTGAAACCGGGTGCCGGAGAGCCACGGGCTTTCGTCAGCTCGAGTGTGCCTCGCTCCTGTTCCGTTTTGCACACACCAAGGAAAACCATGATGCACACCGATTAGCCGCAGCGAGTGAGACCACTTTCTTTCTTTTCTGATCTCATAAGACTCCTCCGGGATTTTGCAAGGAATCGTCACCAGAAGTTTGTTTTCCAAGTTGAATCACTGACAACATCTCACAACTGTGCACATTCTTTATCACAAAAACTGAAGTCAGAAGAAAGACTCCGAAAACGTCAAGGGCTAACCTCTCTCTGGCAGGGTGTTATTACTGTGAACCACGTTAATGCACTAACTTGCTACCACACAACTGAACAGCGCAGCGTGGCCAAGCACGTGGATTACAAAGTTGTATCGCAGGGCATGCACGTGACCGAATTTCTCCCACTTGGGTGACATTTACAAGACTGGTTCTCATCAGTCACACTTGTAAGAAACTCATTTATATACAAATAAGTGGCAGAAACAATTCACTCAAGACCTGTTCAAAAACAAGTTAATGTATGAACTCAAGTTAATGTATGAACTCAAGGTGATATTTTGCTAGTCTCCAGTGGGATGGGTTTGGCTCACGACATAGTTGAGTAATCATTTTTCAGTGTTTTTCACTTTTTTAATATATGAAAGAATAGATTCGGGTTACATCTTTGAGTGTACCTTGGCCCTCCAAGGCCAGTTTGGAAACCAATGATCTCAGGTAGCCTCTCCACCCCCTAGGCATGCGCACACAGGAGACATGATATTCTGGTCCATCCAGAGTCCAATTTTTTTAGACTACTTTTCCCTCTTACTACGTGAGAAATGTCTTCAGCCCCAAAGATGTTGACAGTTTGGTGGCACTGGACGGAATCAGAGCAGGGAAGCCAGGACAGCCCGAGTCCTCCCCTACAGGTTCCTGAGAGGGTTTCACCGCAAGTGGGAAATCCAAGGACTATTTTTATTAACAGAACTTAAAACTCAAATACTTCAAGGCCATTCTTTTGCCCCAAAACTAACTCTGGGGACCTTACCACCCTCCGGTTAGACAACTGAAGGATGGCAGAGGAAGCCTGGGGGAGCAAGGAAGCCGGGCCTGCTTCGGAGATTGTGGCTTAACTTACACGCCACCAAAGCGCAGAGAAGATGAAGGGAGAAAACGTCCGGGCTGCTCTTTTTTTTTCTTTACTGATTTTAGAGAGAGAGGAAGGGAGAGGGAGAGAGAGATAGAAACATCGATGAGAGAGAACATTGACTGGCCACCTCCTGCATGCCCGACTGGGGATCAGGCCCACAACCTGGGCATGTGCCCTGACTGGGAATCGAACCAGTGACCTCTTGGTGCGTGGGTCAACGCTCAACCACTGAGTCACACTGGCCGGGTTCAGCCTGCTTTTTTTTTTAATCCTCACCTGAGGACAATTTTTTTTTGTGGCATTTATCTTCAGATAGAGCGAGAGGAAGAGAAGGAGTAAGAGAGAGAGAGAAACATCGATGTGAGAGACGCATCTAGTAGTTGCCTCCCACACGACCCCAACCAGGGCCAGGGACAAACTGCAACCGAGGTACATGCCCTTAGCGGGAACTGAACCCGGGACTCTCTGGTCCACCGGCTGACGCTCCAACCACTGAGCCAAACCGGCCAGGGCTTGGCCTGCTGTTTAGACTGCCAGGCCCTACAGAGCTCAGCCAACCACTCAGAAGAGGCAGGGAATAGAGGAGAAAGACCAAACATGGATAAGCATAACAGTGACCCTGCCCGTGGATGGGTCAAGATGAACGTTATAGAATTTCCCCAGTCTGCTTCTTGACTCACCAACCTCAAAGGTGAATCTAGGAGGAGGGGGGAAAGCGGCCTGGCAGAGGGAAAAGCATAGTGGAATATATACCTCCCTCCCACCTTAATTTCTCCCACCTCAGATCTCACATAGCATTTACCTCTGAGAGACCGGGATCTTAGGAACCCAGATCTCTACAAAGTGGGTCCCTAAGACAGTCAAAAATCTTCATTCAAGAGAAAGCTTTGTTCCCAACTTGGAATTTCTTCCTTGGTCTTCTTTCACCTTGGGGGTCCCCCAACTCAAAGTTTCCTGGATTCTGCAGATAAATTAAAACAGCTCATGAGATGGAACAGGGAGAGATGCCATTTGGAATTTTTTTCATTTTTACTTACTGGGACTTTCTAAGTCCCTGAATATTTCTACCCCCCAACCAGGCCTCCAGAACATTCCACCCTCAAAGCCACCTACCCTGACAAACATTATAACCTCAAACCATTCACTTCTTATGGAGATGGTCAGATGGAATGGCAGAGACCTGTGAATACCAGAGCAACCCTCAACAAGATGGCTGGGTGAATTTGCTTTGCCACCTCCTGCCCCCACAGGCATTTCACGTTGGCCTTCAGGGGCTCCAAGGAGGGAGGTCAGGGCTTTTGCCCTCTAAAACCTCAACTGGTGTGTCACCCCCCTCCTCCACTGCACTGGGGTCCTCCTCACTGGCCATGTGACCTGCCACCCCCTTGAACTCATCAGCTTCCACCTGCCACTCCTGCTCCTCCCCCTTCATCTGCTCGGTGACACAACCCAAATGACTTCTGTTGTCATTCTCACCATGAGAAGAGCCTTCTGGTTTGGACTTTGCACCCTGTGACGTTGAGGCTGGTGACTCAGTGGGCCGTGAGCATCTAGGGGCCCTCTGGACTGACGCACCCCTTCTTGAGCCTGGCCCTTTCTTTGGAATGAATGGCTTCTTCTTGGCGCCTTCCACATCGACAAGGACATAAGAGATGGGGCCCAAGCTCACCTTCTTTTTCTTCCTCATGGGGACCGGGCTCTTTGCTGAGGCCCAGCGCATAGCCTTCCTCTTTGGTGGGCTCTCATGCCCATCATCTTGGTCTGACTCAGAAGCAACTCCAGGGCCTGCCGCTTCTGACTGGGCATCCTGAGGTGCATTTGTGGGAGTCTCTACAGGCTTCTTCAAAGCTGACTCCTGCTTCACACAGGGCTTTTTGCTGCTCCTGGTATATTCCGAGAGCTGCCTATTTTCACCATCATCAGCCTCAGGATCCTCCAAGGAGGCCGAGCTGTTGGAATGGTGGCCTTTGGGTTTCTTCCGGGACACCGGTTCCTGCTTGGGGGATTTTCTCTGCTTCTTTCTCCTGGAGCGAGTCTTAGCTCCAGCCTTTCGAACCAAAGGTTTGGGAGGGTCACCTTCATCTTCCATGCCATTCCAGCTGTCTGGGCTCTCCATCTTCAGGGCAGGGCCCACCTCGGCAGCCCTCCCTGGCTCCTTTTTGACCTTCCTCCTGGCTGCTGAAGCTGCAGCTGCCACAGCATGGGCCTCAGCGGCCTCCTGGGCCCTAGCTTCCTCCTGGCTGCGGATCTCTGCATCCATGTGGAAAACGATCTGCATCACAGCCCCCAGGAGCAACCCCAAAGCTTCTGCCCAGTTCTCTGGAGGCAGAGTGTGGTTCTGGGGCGGTGGGGGGTTGTTGAGCTGGAGCAAGCGAACCACATCCTCCCAAGTGCGCCCCTCGGCATCCAGGAACTCATTCAGGTTTTTTAAAAACTCTGCATCCTGGGTGGGGTGTCTGCAGACCACTCTCCAGACACCTCCCCTTCCAGGAAACTCCCGGGGTATGGCCCTCAGACTCACACCCTCGCCCACCTCAATTAGGGCGGCTTTGGCATTCTCTTCCCTCAAGAAAATCTTGTTGAGCACAACGTACGGGCCCAGCGGGGAGAGGACCCCATTCAAGGTCTCTTCGATTTCTGCTTGGCCACAGTCCGCCGGGATGCCCGTGACCAAGAGGGACCTGTGGATGTCCACTTCCATCCCGCGGCACCAGTCCTCCAAGAGGTTCATCGTCATGGTCGCAATCACCTGCCAGCTCTAATCCCACGAGTAATGAAGAGTCAACCTGGTGGGCTGGGGCCGCAGGGGTCCCCCCGAATTAATCCTGTAAAGTGAGAAGAGAGGGAGGTTAGATTCCCAGGACGACAGCCAGGCTCGAAGATCTTAGCGGCCCCCTCCGCGGCGGGCGCGCAGAGGCCTCGCGCTTCCCCGGGTCCTCCGCCCACACCGGGCCCCGGGCGCTCACACGTGTCCCGGATCCGCGAAGCCCGCGCCGGCCCCGCCCCCGGGCCTGGCAGTCCGCCGGCCGGCAGGGATCTGGCAAAACCCCGCCTCCGATAGCCCAGCAGCGCCCAGGAGAGGCGCCGGGAGGAAGCCGCTCGCCGGGCGTCGCCTCGGACCACCCCAGCGCGGCGGCTCCGGGCCGAAGTGGAGGGAAACCCGCGTCCGCCCCGCTCCGGCGCCGGCGGGTCACGCGCCGTCCCGCCGGGACCCTCGCAGCTGCGCGGAGCCAGCCCGGCGTCGCAACGCGCGCGTGCGCACTTGCTCTCGCGCCGCCCGCCGGCCGCGCGGCGCCCGCGGTCTCCATGGCAACGGGCCAGCGGCTGGCTCGCGCTTGGGCTCTACTCTTGGGCTTGGGGATCCCCGGGAGCGCGACTTGGCAGCTGTTCGCGGAGCCACGGGTCTGCAGATCCTCTTCCCGCCTTTCTCTCCTCAGTGTGGGCCTCGGGACCGGGGTAGAGGAGGACGGGGCGCCGACTGCAGTGGCCGCCCAGCTATGCTCTGCCTTCCTGCTGGGTTCCGTCAGCATGACTCCTGGGAGGCGCCAGAAATCAGAGGACACAAGGAAAGAGTGGCTTTCACCCCCACCCCACCCCCCGGGTTCCACCAACAAAAGCTACAGCTCCTGGCAGGATCCTTCTTCAGCTACAGTTCCTGGATTCCAGACGTTTCCAGAAACTTCTTGCTTCCACTCCCCCCCACCCCAGCCACCCCGAAGCCTGGGGATAATGCTTCACCATCCTTGCTGATTTTCTCAGCTTGCTGCCCGCAGGCTACAGCTTGGTGACTAGTCCATTGAACACTCAGTGACTGGGTCTGAGTTGCCCTCTTTCCTGCCAGGCCCTCAGCTAACAAAGCCGCGTCCAATCTGTGCATCGTGAGACAAGTCATCCGAGCGCTTTGGGCTCCTTCCTCTTCTGCACAACAGGAGCACCAGTCCACACCTTCCTGAACTGCACGCTTTGGAGATTCGTGGAGATCACATGTGAAGAGATGTATGAAGTACAGCGGTGGCCTGGGTCTTCAACCAAAATCTGTTCTTTGGATTCCATTTTGAAATAGGCCATGGCAAGACCAAATAGCCCAATCCCTCCCTATTCTGCTGTCATCTGTGCCATCCCTGAACTTGGACTTGATCAATATTTGTGCTATTGCTCAAGTTGCCATTGTGTTTCATGAGAAAATGAAGTGCCATTCAAAATGTTAAAGAAACACTTTAGCTATATAACCAGAGTTTAAAAAATCTTGTTCTTGCCCTGGCCCGTTTGGCTCAGCAGTTAGAGCATTGACCTGTGGACCAATGAGTCTCGGGTTCAATTTCGGTCAAGGGCAATCGGTTGTGGGCCCCAGCCCTGGTCGGGGTCATGTAGGAGGCCACCGGTAGATATGTCTCTCACATCAGATGTTTCTCTCTCCCTCTTTCTCTCCCTCCCACTCTATCTGAAGATAAAATGGGGAAAAAAAGAGATACAAGTTTATGGCTCTTTACATGTTGAAATTCTATGAAGCAGCTGAAAAGGGACCATATACCATTATGCAGTGGTTTGAAAACAGAGCCATACATTTTTTTGACACTGCTCTGGATGAGAGGTGGGAATCTGTGTCCACTCCTCTTGAATCTGAGTAGACTTGTAACTGCTTTAACCAGTAGAGAGTATGGTAGAAGGGAAATGATTGACCCCATTGAGTATTGGTAGGGAGCTATGTGATGTTGCAGACTAGGTTATAAAAAGCCAAGCAACTTCTTCCTTGTTTGTTGGGACTCACTCATTCTTGGATCTCTAAGATTCCAAGTAAGAAGTTCAACAACCCTCCGGCCGCCATGCTACGGAGAAGCCCAAACCATGTGTGTAGGCTAGTCCATAGTTCCCAGCTGAGCCTAGCTTTCAGATGATCTCAGCCCAGGCACCAGACATGTGATTAACGAAACTTCTAGATAATTCTAGTCCCCAACCATTTACGTCTTCCCAGCTGAGGCCCAGACACGGTGTAGCAAAAACAAACCATCACTGCGCTACCCTGTGTGAATTCCTGGCCCATAGAATCAATGCGTATAACAAAAAGTTGTTCTACACCACTAAGTCTGGGGTGGCTTATTATGGAGCAATGGGCGACTGAAAGGTACTGTAAATGCGACAGTAATCAGTGATGATTGCAAAGCAGTACTGCAAAAAACTGAGAACAACCTTCTTAAGTCAGCCTCTGAAAGGATACCTCAAAGCAGCTTTTTCTAGCAGTGCACAAAGTTTCCATTCATGGAATTTTTTTCAATGAAGTAGCATCGTCACCATCAAAGAGCTCTTTCTGCTTGTGTTGAAGAGATAAATCTTCTATTTTAGTCAGTTACTTTTAGCGAGGAAAGAAAGCGTCATAGTTTAGTGACATGTTCCCATCAGCAGAGCTGGTCAAAATGTCTTGTTCCTTCATCGTTCACTTAGCATCATAAGTGGGCAGTAGGCCCTGGCTAGGTGGCTCAGTTGGTTGGAGCATCATCCCGTGCACCAAAGGGTTTCAGGTTCTATTCTGGTTAGGGCACATAACTAGGTTTCGAGCACCAGTCAAGCACATACGGGAGGCAACAGATCAATGTTTCTTTCTCACATTGATGTTTCTCTCTCTCTCTCTCAAATAAATTAAAAAAAAAAAAAAGCCCTGGCCAGTTTGGCTCAGCGGTTAGAGCATCGGTCTGCGGTCCGGAGAGACCTGGGTTCGGTTTCCGCTAAGGGCACGTACTTCGGTTGCAGTTTGTCCCCGGCCCTGGTTGGTCATGCGGGTGGCAGCCACTCGATGTGTCCCTTCACGTCGATGTTTCTCTCTCTCTCTCCCTTCCTCTCTCTCCTTCCCACTCTATCTGTACAAAAAATGGAAAAAAATAAAAATAAAAAAAATAAAAAAAATAAGAGCTCTGCCTGACTGATGTGGCTTGGTGGTTGAGCATCGACCCATGCACCAAGAGGTTGCCGGTTCGATTCCTGGTCAGGGCACATGCCCAGGTTGTGGGCCAAATCCCCAGTGGGGAGCATGCAGGAGGCAGCCAGTCGATGTTCTCTCTCATCAATGTTTCTGTCTCTCCCTCTCCCTTCATCTCTCTCTAAAATCAATAAGTTTAAAAAAAATTTTTTTTAAAGAGCCCTGGACCCTGGCCAGTTTGGCTCAGTGGTTAGAGCATTGGCCTGCGGTCCAGAAAGACCCAGGTTTGGTTCCCGCTAAGGGCACGTACCTCGGTTGCAGTTTGTCCCCGGTCCTGGTTGGGTCATGTGGGTGGCAACCACTCGATGTGTCCCTTTCACGTCGATGTTTCTCTCTCTCTCTCTCCCTCCCACTCTATCTGAACAAAATATCGAAAAATGTCCTCGGGTGAGGATTAAAAAAAAAAAAAAGAGCCCTGGCTGATGTGACTCAGTAGTTAGAGCATTAGCCCACGTAGCAAAGAGTCTCAGGTTCCATTTCTGGTCAAGGGCAATACTGGGTTACAGGTTCAATCCCCGGCCCCAGTTGGGGCACATGCAGGAGGCAACCAATCGATGTGTCTCTTTCTCCCACTCCCTCCCTCCTTTCCACTCTCTAAAAATCAATGGAAAAAATATACTCAGGTGAGGGTTAACTAAATAAATAAATTAAATTAAAACATTTTTAAATAAGAAAAATAAAATAGCTCTGGCCGGTTTGGCTCAGAGGTTAGAGCGTTGGCCTGTAGTCCAGAGAACCTGGGTTCGGTTCCTGCTAAGGGCACGTACCTCGGTTGCAGTTTGTCCCCAGCCCTGGTTGGGTCGTGTGGGTGGCAGCCACTCAATGTGTCCCTTTCATGTCAATGTTTCTCTCTCTCTCTCCCCTTCTCTCTCCCTCCCACTCTATCTGAACAAAAAATGGAAAAATGTCCTCAGGTGAGGATTAAAAAATAAATAAATAAATAAAAATAAATGCGCAGTTGGGTGGCCAGAGGAGCAAGCTACTAGCTGACTGTGCTATGAAATGATACTAGCTACTACATTTTAAAAATAGATTTTAGAGAGAGAGGAAGGGAGTAGGAGAGAGAGAGAAATATCAATGTGAGAGAGAAACATCAATCATCAGTTGGTTTCATACTCACCCCGAACAGAGAATCGAACCTGCAAACTGGGTATGTGCCCTGATTGGAAACTGAACCCATGACCTTTCAGTGTACGGGATGACGTTTCAACCAAGTGAACCACCTGGCCAGGGCTTAAAAGAGCTTTTTAAATTTTTGTTTATTTATACATAAAAAAGAATATATGTATATATTTCGATGAGCAATAATCGTGTCTCAGATAAACTTCATTGACTACGATACTGCCACTGTGCAAAACTTATAAATATATATTTATAAATAGTCAATTATGTGGATGTACATATATACGTTCATATATATGTATGTGTGTGTCAAGTGAAGGCAGCTGCCTGCTCCCTCTCCCAACAAGGAGCCACTCTGATTACCAGCAGACCTAAAAATAGTGTTGAAGCATCCCTGATAGGAGTAGCTGTGGTTTCCATGGCAATGAATGGCCTATGGTTTCCATGACAACACAACCCTGCAGCTTCAACCCATCCAGCGGTCTCTGCACTGTGGGTTTAAGGTCACCTTTCCATCCCTTTCCTCTCTGTTTTACCTTTGGGTTTTTATTTTGTCTTCCTGTGTGTGTGTTATTTTTTTAATTCTTAAAAATGTTTTAGATTCTTTTTTCAATTCTGGTGTATTTCATACGAGAACCCGCAGAGTTTCTATAAACACTAAACACAGAGAAGGTCCCAGATTTCCCCACCGGGGGAAGTTGCACTACCCAGCGTGGTGGTTCTGAGACTTTCTGGCATGTTCTGTTCATGGCGCTGTGAGAGCTCCTTCTCGCTTCAGTTTCTTCCTTCCCCACCCCCCCAACTACCCCGCTTCCCCCCACCTCTAACTCCCACGTCGCCAACCTCAGCGTCTGGTGTGAGTCCACACATACTTTTCTCCATCTACCCAATCATTTAAAACTACACAGACTATTTAGTTGAGTGTCCTGTGCACTGGAAGTTTGCCAGTTTGATTC